TTCGTTTCCTTCATTCGTTTAGAATAGCGGTTCGATGATGGAGTAAATCATATTTTTCATCCAATTGATCCTCGAAGGTTGAAGCCGAGAGCGCCGCAGGCGTGGGCTGACACGTACTGCTAACCCGGCTATTTGCGTATCAGCTGCTACTTACAGAGAATGCAGATGGAGATACTTTTGACCCTGACCTTGATCCGGTTGAATAAACTTTTGAACTCGCTGCCAGCTGCTAATGATAAAGGGCCGATTACTGGTTGTTCGTTGAGCGAAGTGAATGATGTTTTTCTTTCCAACTTTTTTTTCAGCATTTGCATTTGCTTTGTCACTCAACCTGAATGTGCGTGATCCTTCTTGAATTAGCATATTCTTTACAGGTTAAAAGCGATTTCTTGAAACTACCTGAAAGTGTTCGGGAATTTGGACTGGTAGTAATGCCAATGGCTGTCGATGAAGAACCCAATTACACGTTGTTAATTTCGATTATGAAGGTCTCTTCTAGTTTAAGCACAGCTTTAGCTACTGCAGTGTAAATATATCACCAAGAACTGCACGATTTCATGGACTATTGTTTTGAATCTCTACTTTTGCTCTGACGAATCCAAAAATCGAAAAAAGGTATTTCTGAGTTCTGAGCTGCATGTTGCCAGTTTGCTAAACACAGATTCTGTTGTCGCTGCTCTTTCAAAATATGTTTGGCTACAATAAATTTTGTAAGTAGAATTAAATTTGAGTCCTCCTTTACATTCATGCACCCTCGTAGCCACAAAAGAATTATGGTCTGCGCCCAATGACACAAAAAACGCATCCCATTTTAGTGAATGTTGTAGAACTAAAGCGTCTTTTGCTATGTTTGCTAGAATTTTTAGCGTTTCTCTATTTAGAGCTAAGGAATGTAACACGAACTAATTTCTATCCCCGGTACGTGTGATTATAGAGTGGGTTTTTAATTCTGATCCTAATATTGTGCTTTTTGACATATCCCGGAAGATTTTTATCTCTTTCACCACTATTGTTTCAGTACATTTAAGTACCTTTTCACAAACATCTGTGCTTGATCGAATGCTCATAATTTATTGTCTGATGAGTTGGTACTTTTTGACTGCCGCCATTCAAAATGTTCATTTCTGACTGATCAAATTAATGTTCTGTGGATGGCATGATCTGAAAGTGCCCTAATATTCTCAGCTTAATTCTCCATCTACCCAGTTAGCAGTTTTTTCGGTTGTTGCCATCGCTCGTGGTTACTCTGCTGGCGATTCTGACTTTTGTTTTGTCATTTGTTGAAATACTAAGATCAGATCGTGGCATTTTTTTATTATGATCAGATAAAAAGGGACCGATTTAAATACTGGTAGACACACTGAAGAATAGTCCTTTAGCTTTGGTTAAAAGGAGCAGACCTTTACAAGTAGGAGAAGTGGGGATCATCTGTACAAACCCAGGCAGCGACACGCTAGGCATGCCGGTGCGATCATACGTTTTTGCGTTAAACTTGAAGTTAACAGAATATTAACAGTATGAATGGTTGTTTCTTTATAGTATAACATGTGCGCGCGTACTGGCAATGTTATGGTCTTTTCCTGCATGCAGCGGAAAAGGGCCTCGGTCGAAACAGTAGTACTGCATCACGTGGTCGCGTAAAATCTTAATTACTAGTACGCGTGACCACCTTAAATTTTGAAAGGAAGTAAAAAATTAGCTGTTACCGGTAGTTCGTTGAAAACGCAAATTGGTCAAGGTTGACAAAAATGCAGTACCAAGCGTACTTACGATTAAGTTTGAAGTCTTCAGATTGTACGTGCAAAGAGAACAACTTGTTCAAATTCCAGCCTTCTAGCTTTGTTGATTCCTGAGTTAGCAGTTTTCCTCCCAAAAATTCTAATGCTTCTATGTGAAAACCAAGCACACATAGAGACGGAATTTGGGAACTGACTGCAAAATTTCAGCATCAAGGTTAACCTGCTTGCCGAATTAAGATACCAAGACAGAAGGAGAGAGGAACACACCCAAACACACATACCCACACACACACACCCACACACAAGCCGTGGTCATTCCACTAAGCGTCTTTAAATTTGCACAAATACGCAGAAACGCGTAAAAACCAGTTTACGAACACTTTTCAAAGATTTTTGCAAAAATAAGCCTTTTAAAAGTGTTCTTTGCAGAATTTGTCCGGTTCGCAGCATCTCAACGATCCATACGACTGGGAGAATGATTACAGGGAAGTGTTAAAGGAGCAAAAATTAGTGTCATTTGCCCGATAAACTGAACGTATTCAGTGGTATAGATGTTGGAGATTTTGTGCGTTCTTTTTGCTACAGCGCTGCAATAAAATTTTGGCCATTTCGTATTCAGAAAATGCCATTTCATTTTCCTCTCGTAGCATTCCTCTCCTCTTTTAAACCCGTCGTCGTAAGTCCCCATTTTTTTCTCACTACCTTCCCTCGTACCTCTCCTTTGTAACAGTATGTCCTTTTCTCACACCAACACATCTCTTCCTCGCAAAATTCAGCTTCTTCCGTGTTTCTACCTTTCGTGAAATTCACTTTTTCCTTCGCAACAACTTACCTCCGCTTCATATCATCCATAATGTCTTTAGTTTCAGTCATCCTAGTTTCTTGTCTCTTTGCTTCCTACTTCTTCAAATTGGGCCCGAAACTGCAACTGGTTCGTTCATATAGTTCATTGTTCTATGGATCGTGGTCCATATACCTTATCGCAGCTCATCACAGCTTGCGAATGGTAAACATCTTATGATTAATGCCAAAGGACAATGATGTTCCCAGCACTGCAATTTCTAGCGTACTTTTAAATCGATGCGATGAAAAAACCCAGGCTGGGACGCATTGGGCGGGGGATGATATTAAAATGGAAGGGTCGCGCATGATATGGGTGCATACTGCTAAAGTTTCAGCCTTCTAGCTTTTCTGGTTTTCGAGTTGAAAGTGGGCGACAAAAAGTGCGAATACGCAGACACATACACACAGCCTCTTCCAATATGCGCTTTTGCAAATTACATATATGCAAAAAGGCATAAAAACAAGCAATATTCAAAGAAAATGTTTAAATTGTGCAAAAAACAGAAACGTCTGATCACCATACATAAGTTATCCACATAACAAAGCTTTGAAGCTCTGTCACCTGCAGTTCATAGTCTGCTTCTCCAACTAAGCAGGTGACAAGTCCTGCATTTGCTCTCCACAGTGCTCCATCGTCTAGTCTTCACTCTGCTGAGCGAAACGGGCCCTTTTGTTACCTGAGAAGATTACGAGCTCAATGGTTCCTGCCAGATACGTAACACAGCAGTTTCAAACACATACGCACACGCACACAGATGGAAGTACACATACACACATATATATTTAGCTCAAAATTGTTGCTGTCATGGGATGTGCCTCAGATTTTAAATAGTTTTTGTAGTGTGCATCGAGATCCAGGATTTTTTTGCACTTCAAGATAAGTAAAAATGCATTAAATTTCCAAGACAACAGTGGCAGTCTTTTTTGATCGTTTGCCCAGTCGATTTGGTCTTCGTTGGCTTTTGACTTTTTTGAGCCGGTTTGATAATGCAAAACAATGGTTAGCTGACAGCCACTGGAACAATTGGCGGCGTACCAGTGGGTGACTGAAATAAAGAGAAGCATAAACGCGCAAGTTCACTTGCTCTGGTGATAGACCACTCAAGTTATTTGCCGAGTGCCTCATAGAGACAGTAATAAAGAGGGCAAGCCCTTCACCTGTTTATGCGTTTTTGCCATGTAGTGTGTGTTCGTCTGTCCGGGTATTTCAACTCGCTAACTACGCAAGCTTTGAAGCTGAAATTTTGC